AAAAGTCTAACAGAAAAAACCTTTGTTAATCAGAAGTTTCACTTTCTAAGAAACATCGTCCAAAAACTATGGGATTGTAAATCTGAAGTTGATGGTGATCATAAACTTTTTAATTCTTTTATAATAATTTTTATTTTGCAAGCTACTGCACTTGCGTGTCAATCTACGTAAATATCCCGAGCACGATTTTCCTGAAATAAAGTCAAAATGTTGCTCCTATTGACTCCAAACCGTCAAGGCTTATTCACGTCCAGGAAACATTTGAAAGCTAATTAGCTAGATTAGACGCGAGCAATCCCTAGGGAAATTTAGCAGATTTTCACTTGGCGTAAACCCGATTGAAAATTTTCAAGCGTTTCATGGAAAAGGTTCAAATGAACGTTTGTAAAATTATGAAATATAGTTATGTTTTTAAGCTAGAATGGCAGCTATTGGTTTTGTAATCGGACCTATGCTTCATGGTTTTTATCGCGTCTTAGACTCTAGAGCATTTCGAGGAAGTCGACGAACCATTGTTTTCAAAAAATTATGCTGTGATGCTGCTTGTATGCCAATTTTCTCCTGCACATTCATGACAGGTACGTGAATTTCATTTCAGTTCCAATTTCTATTTTCATGCGTTTTGAGCATTTAACTAAATTTTTATACTGCTCCGAACATTCACTTCTTCAATTGATCGGCAAAGGGACTTCAAAGCATAATAGTGATAAGTTTTTATAGCGAACTATAAAAGGAAGAGGGGGAGGGGGAAGTTGCCTTGTTCGATGTTATCTGATTGTGAGAAGCTTAGACAGAAGAGAAAAAAAGAAATTGAAGAAGCTGAAAAATAATTTTGAAGCTGGTTTACATGGTTGATTTATTTAAAAAATTACTATTTTTTGTCTGCAGATGGCTGAACTGCTCGGAACTTTGAAAACAAATTTTATAATAGGCTAACGCTATTTTTTGAAGACGTGCATGTTCCTTTCCATGAAAAAAATTTTTACGATGTTCGTTGGTTGGGATTGAATGTGAAGTACAGTTCAAAAGCCATAACAAATTAAGCTTTGCAACTAAATGGTCTGAAAATTATTGAAAATATTAACGTCTTCTAAAATTGTTTCCAGAATAGTCATCTCTTCCTAGAAAAAATTTTGCTTTACATCAAACTTCTGATTCTTTTCATTCGCAGAAGAACTAATATTGCTTTGAAGCTTTCTTTTGCAGTGGGAGGTCTTCTTGAAGGATCTTCACTGTCATCGGCCTTTTCTGAATATAAGAAGAAGATGTGGCACATTTTCAAGGTAGTAGAACTTTCATTCCCTTTCGCTTATTACTTTTATAAGCAGATTAGTTTGTAAAATTACGCTCGCCTGATTTCAGGTTGACATATCAATTTGGCCTCCAGCACAACTGATCTCGTTTTGGTTCTTGCCACATTCGGTTCGGGTCGTTTATGTAAATATTGTATCGCTTGTTTATAATTGTATCATGTCTTATATCAAAAACAATGACATATCAGTGATTAAGCGTAGTATATGAAACTGATAGCCTTGTTGGTGTAATCTGATGAACTCCATGGCTGTAGGCACAAAAATAAAGACTACTCGGCAAAACGTTGTCCTAATACCCGAGGAAAGGGGTGCCGATTACTGTCACAGGATTGATAAAAAATATTGATGATACTCCGCAAAAATCAGCATTTTCTGATGTTAAGTCTGTACTACTCTTAAATGGCATTTGTAGCAGCTTCGGTGCAAACTCGTGAAAAAATATCATTATTTTACAATTTCCATGTTCCTCTCTTTCAATCTAGAAATCGATATATTCTTCAAGTGTTCTAAGCCACACACATTTCTAAATAATCTTCACTATTCCAATAGCTTAACGCTCTAACCATTCAACCATTTAGGCTTTTGTCTTCATCAAAGGCCTGAATGGTTCAAACCATCCGTGACTTCAAGATTATGTGCCTTCTCTACACCTGCTAGTTCTCAGCCTTTCTCAGCCTTCCTATTATAAAAATGGTCAGGACAGAAGATGAGCGTACTGAGGGCCACCACTATGTATGGCATTTAGCGCCGGAAATGATGGTTGTGGTGGAATCCTCTAGTATAATATAAACCCGATGCCATAAAACACGACGGCTAGATTGCTCCGCCCCTTCTTATGCTTATGACGT